TGTGTGTGTGTGTGTGTGTGTGTGTGTGTGTGTGTGTGTGTGTGTGTGTGTGTGTGTGTGTGCGTGCGTGTGCGCATGTGTGTATGTGTGTGTGTTTGCTTGTATGTATGTATGTCCTGTGAATAATTAGTCATGAGTATGAATATAATAACATAGTATGAACATGAATATGACGATAATAAATAATGAATGAATGATGAGCACATGCAGAGAGTCGCATTTTACCGTCTGCGTAGAGCCGCAGCGTTTCGGCGGTCAGATTGACGTTGGTGCCGGCGTCTGCCAACCACGATGGCACGTTGTCTTTACGCTCATAGCTGCTTGTAGTATCACCACTGTTAGCCGGGAAGATGTAGCCGTGTAGCTGATCACTGCTCTGCACCTCAGCGTGTACGACTGTTAACATTGACACAACATTTCACGTCACTATTATAATATTAGTACACGTTATTACTTTTGTTATCATTAGTTTTATCAGGAGTGTATAATAATCGAATCTATTAATTATTATACACTCTTGATTTGATTTGATTTCGCTATTAATTTTACTAGTTACTATTAGTTACTATTAGTTACTATTAGTTTACTATAGTACCATTAGTAACTATTAGTTTCCTATAGTACTATATAGTTACGTTATTGCGAATGAAATACTTAGTGGCAATACATTACACGCAGGATAAGTCATGGTATATAAAGATTACAACGGTTAGAGGTTACAAGTGATATTATTCACAGTGACATAATGCATCTACTCTTTTAAAAAAGCATCTCACTTCGAGACGGCCATGTGAAAGATAGGTCCGCGCCAATTTATTGTGTCTGTACAGTACCTAACATGTTTTACCGTCGTTAAATAAAGTTTTTACTTACTTACTTACTTTTACTCCCGGTGTTACGTTGGTACCATACGTTATTATCGTTCCGTGGTGCTAAAAACGTTATCATACATGGCATGACCTCTCAATCTCATTCTGTAGTTTGGTAAGAGAGTATTAGCTTACAACCTACCGATGTTCGATGATGTGGTCAGCGACTGTTCACCGGGTGCCAGTGAATTAACCAAGGAACGGCTATACTCTCCGACTGCCATCAATAATTTAGACGTTCCTTCACCTAACTGTATCACAGATATAGCATCCAGTAAACACGTATGTCTATTATTCAGGTTTACATCATCTAATCTAGTAAGTGAGTGAGCGAGTGGGTAGGTGGGTGGGTGAGTGGGTGGGTGAGTGAGTGAGTGAGTGAGTGAGTGAGTGAGTGAGTGCTAGTGACGTGGGTCAGCGAGTGAGGATGAGTGAGTGAGTGAGTGAGTGAGTGAGTGAGCTGAGTGAAGTGAGTGAGTGAGTGAGTGAGTGAGTGAGTGAGTGAGTGAGTGAGTGAGTGAATGTGGGACATTTTGACACTACTTTGACAGTCAACATTAATCATGTGGATTAGCTGTCTATGGCACCACGTTTGTCGTCGACATGCGTAATAATGCGTAATGCGTCATGCGAAACTGCCGAAGTAAGTAAATAACAAAAACGTCGCAATATTTCAGTCATTTATGCACAGATTAATGCACTTACCTCTTCTAGGTTATGGAACAGCTTTGCGTTTTCTTCCTGCAGCAGGTTGCTAGTAATTGTGATGAAATCCTATAATTTGCAAAACACAAGCATACAACCACGGATAAAAAAATACAACTTTACTCGTAAATATAGTATATAATTTAAATATAACATATGATTTGCATAATTACCAGCCCTCCTGTCCGATGTCGCGGCATGTACTTTCACGGTCATAATAATGACATGTCAAAAGAGTTAGCTATGCCCCTATATCATATAGCTATATAGGTATGTGTAGCTAATTTTATCAATATAGACCCAGAAAACCGTATCCCTACGCGCCATCGAATGCATGATAACATGGCGATGCAGTGTACGCTCCCCTCACACTCACCTCACTCGGTCGAAGATTGTTGCTCCGCCAATAGTCCAACATTGCCGACATGGCTTTCGTGATGGCGACCAGGTCGCCGCTGAGTTTCAGATCAATCTCGGACAGCGTCAGCGTCTCCTCGAGCACGTCGCTGGCGACGTAGGCGCTGCCGCTGTCGATCAGCGTCACCGTGTTCTCGCTCAGCGTCTTGAACTGACGTCGCACGCAGGCGGAGTAGTCCGGCGACCACCATCGGCCGTCGCCGTCGTCGTCGGCGATGCATTTCCGCCGCGCAGATCCTGTTCGCAAGGCGACGTTCACAGCTTAAGAGACAATCGTACCTCTTCTCATCGTTAGGTATAGCGCAGTTAGCGCAATGTAAATTTTAAAATAAATGTGGGGCGTGTTGCGACTCGACACGAAACGACATCCCATAACGTTGTATATATGAGACGAAATATCACACCCTAACCTAGCATAGCCAAGAGTGAATATAGAATTCTGATCCAGCATTACTTAGTTTTACCGCTATATAGATCGTTGAATTAAGCTGGGAATTTCGTGTTCTCATTACGCGTCAGCTGAAGTATTACCTTCGGCCATATACGGGCATGGCTGTCGGTCCATCGAGCCGGCAGGCTTTAACGCCCATTTCGTTCCATGGTGATCCACCTTGTTTTGACACCAACTTGCCGCGCCTGAAACGTGGAAGCCCTCTAGAACTTTTGCCATAACGCGTTGACTGCACTGATATAATACTGGCTGAATAGCTGCCAGATTACCCTCACGGGACGTTACATTAGATGTAATACTACGTGTCGTGGCTGCTTCGGCTTGCTTTTGAATTATTAAACGCAAAATATTATGAAACTACAGATTGTCACGACAAGGTCTTAATTTGGCAATGTGTTAATACTGAGTTCTTACACGCCCTGCAAATCCCAAGTTAAATTTAATGAGTAGAGGATTGCTACTCAAAATATAGAGCACGTGTAGATAAGCAATCATCGCTAAAATATTCAATAATAAACATGTCTTACTTAAACAATTATAACGCGCCCCCGCCCACACAATATGTTACATATGCCACACAACGACTATTTCTTTATTAAATTAATTAATTAATTAATCAATCAATCAATTAATTCATTAATTATTTATTTGTTTATTTATTTATTTGTATCAACAAATATGATTTAGAATCGCTCTCGACTCACTGCAATAATACTCTATCACCACGTAGGGTCTCCAGGAGATATAGCTTGCTACGGACGGACACTCGATCTCTCCCAGCTGAGTACTGTTCACCATGATGCGACACACGCGCTCGTACCTACACGTGTCTCGTAGCTGACGTAGTCTGACGTCGATATCCGGCCCGCGACACCTGGTGTCGGCAGCTGTAGTTACCGATTAATGCTCATTAATACCATCATGACGACATAAATATACTGTAGAATCTGAGTATGGTCTAAGTATGACATGTCTGAATGCATGCAGATGTGTTCATGATAACACACTTTACTACTCACAGTCGAGCTTTCCCTTTCGAGTTTGAGTGTTTGGTTTAATTAAGCAACCGCTGTTTGATGACGTTGAACAGTTATTATAATAAATCGCATACATAATATCAAGAGTACATAATAATACCTCTTTATGTATTATTAGCTCTTGATCATACATGATTTATACTATACATATTTATCTTTCTACGGGACACAATCATCAACATTGCATCCACTTTTCCCTAGGAAGCATATACATGGCTACTCAGATCGGATCACAAATTAATAAACACTCGTACTCCAGTATGAAATACAAGGAATCCTTTATCCTATATGTAAGTGTTGCGCCACGACGAAGGCAACATTTTCTTGCCAGAATAGCGCCGTGCATGCGCTGTACGCGCGTGCGCGCTTACGTGAGTAAGTCATCGCGATGTCATTGCAAGATCGGCCGTCATTGAGTTTCTGGCCATAGTGGAGCCTGGCGATCCGGATGAAACCGGTTTCACAAGATGCGTAGCCATTGTCATCGTCGCAGACCGTCAGCTTCTGTATCACTGAGGAATAATTGATGTACGGTAGGTTTGTTCGCGGAAGCGGAAGTCGAATGAGTTACGTAACGTTATTTTACGAGAGAAGCGAGAATTGACATAAACATATTTTTTATCGTATAGTTTATAGTTTTTGTTATTTCAGCCTCGCCCTTACCCCTTGTGTGCGTTGGTTGAATGAACGAGTAGGTGATGTTAAAGATCACGCCCGTAGTTGACGGCCGTAAGAAGGAAAAAAATCGCAAATATACGTGATCGGTCAGCGACACAATATCGGCGATCGCACCGCCGCCGCATAGCTGACTGAAACAAAATAACGAAGTAGAGAAATTAGTTGAATAATGAATTTCAAGAGCATATAAACCTCTTATAGGGAAATATGATACTAGTAAAGCGTATTAAGTGGTTATAATCTCTTGTTATTATGAACTCATTTCACGTTTAAGGCTAAGCTCTTGTTACATTTCAGTTCTGCTAGGCCCATATAGGCCTTTACCCCGGCTAAGAAGCAAAGGATAGCATCACATATCTAAATTGGCTCATCGCTACTGGTGAAAGCAACAGGAAACCACTAGATAGGAGTTTTCCTCGTACAATCATGACTAGGAATTTGGACAGATAATGGCTTCTAGAATATTATCAGAACCGAATGGATCCCATGACACAGTGAAGTTAAGTAAGAGCGAGCTTACGCGAGCAGAGGGCTAGACTCCTGACCCCCATCGTGAACATTGAGGTATTCGCACCAGCACGTCCTGTTTCCCTTGTGGCAAGGGTCGAGATGAAACCAATTGAAGACCAACTTAATAACCTGTCAGGGGGAAAATTCGTAATGTGTCGGTTATACGGAATTCTTTGCTCGTGCATTTTTACTATACAGTAATACGCATGTGCACACGAACACGCACGCGTATACACACACACACACACACACACACACACACACACACACACACTACACACACACACACACACACACACACACACACACACACACACGCACGTATGTCGTGGGTGCGCACTCGTATACACGCACGCACACACATACGTAGGTGCAAAATCGTATACACGCACGCATGGACGAACACGCACGCACAGCACAAACACATGGCCACGTACGCACGCGCGCATGCAGGCACGCACACACGTTCGCACGCACGCACGCACGCACCTACGCACCCATACCAGCCTATACCTGTCCAGTACGTGCAGAAATACGCCAGCAGGCTCGGTCTGTTCTTCTGTTTAGATATATATTCCTCGATCCATCAATGTTATTCACGTTATTGCTGTAAACCGTCATTCCATCCTTACACTGATCTGCTCGGTAAATGATCGTGTTAAAAAGAGACGCTGCCACATACAGGACACACAAGTGCATATAATTGTACGCGCCATATTGACACAAATATAACACACAAGTGCATATATAAGCGTCATATTGTTATATATTGAATACACAGGTGCATACATAAGCACAATATTGAAACTTCTATAACACACGCAAATATATCTATTAAATCTATCTATATATATATCTATATATATAAATATATCTATATAAATATTCTATAGCACCTTCTGGCAAATACAAGCCCCATATTGACACATATATAAAACACAGGTGCATAATATAATATAAGCGCCATAACGTTACATATTGAGTACACAGATGGATATAGATACGCACGCGCATATATAAGCGTCATTGCTTTACGAACTGCAGAAACCTATTGTAGACAAATATCCGAACAGAAAAGGACCGCAATCGTAATCGGATGACATGCAATGTCAATATAACACATTAACATAATAAATAACATTCTTAATCTATAGCTTTATACCTCACTGTTGCCGAATGATAAACTCGTCGTACCCACACACGGCAGTGCAGTTGATCTGCGTCACGTAGCAACGGTCCAGACCTGCCCATCGCGCACGTTACTATAATAAAGCTGTTTATAAGCGGAGAGCTTACCTTCTGGCAATCCAGCCTCTCCTCCAAGATGCACCATCGCAGCGGCGAAATGAAGCACAACACACGACAGTACCGCTCCTAGCAACACTGCTGCGTACCTCATCCTCACGGTCTATATTCTTCTCATTCAGTATATATACACCCTCCAACAACATCTATAGCCTCGGAGCAGCTTCGTGACTCCGCATCGTTACCTTCGCGCGGCGAAAGGAGCGAGAAGGGGAGAAGGCGGAGAGCAGGTATGTCGGAGTAGATGGTGGGAGGCGGTGCAGACGTAAGCTGGGGGTTATGCGAGGATACTCGCCCCACTCTCAAGCCCCACGTTTTGACGCACAGCCGCAGCGTGCAGCCGGAAACCTGAGCAGGAAACGTTCGCACTGGGTTGCATCCTCAGGATATCTAAGCGCTGGTGCGACCGAGCACGCGTAGCGGGGGTGGGGGTGGGCGAATAAAAGTTCGATGGTTGAAAGTAGCAGGACAGTGATAGATGCTGTGGGTGGCGCTATCGTACGTAGCGGTGAGAAAACGAGCTGTCACAATCATGGCGTGACTGAGGCCACGGCAGTTTTTGATTTCTCGTAAAGGCGAGAAGGAAATTTGAGAAAAAAATAATCGCACGTCGTTATAGGCAATGTCAGTCGTTCAGTAATTATTTTAGGCTTCTTATGTAAGGTGTAGAATAATGGAATTCTCGCTTACGACATTCATAAGATACGGAGTGAGAGGAAGTAATAAAAGCAAAAACATAAATGAACCTATTTACGTTTATATTTACATTTATCATGACAAATATCCGTAACAGTTACACGCCAAATATTATGACACATTCATGAAAGAAATAATTATATTATATTATATTATATTATTTACGTTTATATTTACATTTATCATGACAAATATCCGTAACAGTTACACGCCAAATATTATGACACATTCATGATTTCAATAATTATATTATATTATATTATATCATGTTATATCATATCATATCATAACATATCCTATCACATCACATCACGTCACGTCACGTCACGTCACGTCATGTCACGTCACGTCACGTCACGTCACGTCACGTCACGTCACGTCACGTCACGTCACATCACATCACATCACATCACATCACATCACATCACATCACATCACATCTACACATCACATGTACACATCACATCGCATCGCATCGCATCGCATCACATCACATCACATCACATCACATCACATCACATCACATCACATCACATCACATCACAT